GGGGAGTAAAAAATTTAAAATTATATATAAAGACCTGATCAAGATATATAGTAAGAAGGAAGGCGGGGGGTAAGCCTTCTATTCAACAATTTGATTCAAATGAACAATGTGATCTAGATGAACTATATGATATGACTGAACAAACTGATACAACTGAGACATTGAATATCTTTGCTAAAGATACTGTAGATGCACCTGCTATTTTAATTTAAAAACTTATACTATTTTCAAAAATTAAATCTGTGCTTGAAGTTTAAAAGGTTACGCAGCATAGGCGTAAAGCAAAGAATTACATTATATTGTTTAAAAATAATTCTTATTTATATATATGCCTTGGTTTAATACTGCATTCTATATTATGCTAATATCAAAAAGGTAGTACACTGATGAAAAGCAAATTAAACCAGGATTACAAGCATGGCAACACCCTTTTATTATTGGATTGGGCAATCATTCAAGCTCGGATACTTTAGTTTATAAACAATCTTTTTCTGATTTATCTTTTAATTCTTCAAATATTTCTTTTGACGATATTCGTACTAAAATTAACTATCACAAATCATATGTAATGATTAGTAGATTATTAAAAAAGCTATTTAGACAGGCTTGGATGACGGTTCTAGTGTGATATAGAACTTGAAGATTTCATGAATAGCTTTATCACTAAATATGTGCCAAGAAAAAAAACTTATATTTTTAAAAAGAATGTTAGAATACAAGATGATGAAAGTAAAACTATTTCAAGCTGCAGTTCTAGTAATGATGATTTCATTGCAGTTGAAGATCTAATAGTTTTTGCAAAAAAAGAGACTCCAAGAAAAAGTGATTGAAAGGGTCTCACGAATTTGAAAATAAAAACAAGTCTAATGCTAAACAACATTTAGAAATGAGAAAAGCTAGAAAACTAACTCAATGTCAGCAATGTCAAAACACTGATCACAATAAAGCTGATTGTAAAGTATGGCATAGGCAGCAAGGAATTTTATATTTATATTAAATAATCAATACATCTGTTATTTAAGTTAGTTCATTAAAGAATTCAAGCATTATATGTTTAATTTTCGGATTCACTGTATGTGCTTATTGAATAATGAGCTAAAACAGGATAAATATATTATCTAGCAGTAAATTTATTGTAAAGTCCAAAGTATTGATTAGATTAGCATAAGTGAATTGAATTATAACATAATTGTATGAGTTTTTAAAATAGAATTTTAAGTATATAGATAATTGATTCTAAACGTACATTTATTGAAATCGGTTTTTATTTTATATAGCATAATTACTATAAATGCATAGAATAGAAAGTACTTTTGCTTTATTCAATGATTAGCATAGAACAGAAAGTACTTTTGCTTTATTCAATGATTATTATGTTCGTAGCTGTTTATAACAAGAAAAAATAGTCAAATTTGTTAATGATATAGAATAAGCTTTTAGAATAGTCAAGCAAAAAGTGTTAGTTTATACGAATAGCATGAACTGTATTATTATATTCTGCACGTTTTATTGTTACAACTAGTATAGTATGTACGGATAAACTATACTTTTATAAGTTATCTCTTTTTTATAGTTAGGGTTAGGGTGAGTTCTATATATTTCTCCGGGTTAAAGGCTTTTTAGTATACTTTTTTTGTTTTGTATATAGTACTATATACAGTATCACTATACTGTACTATATACAAAATATAAGTGCGCAAGTTGGCTATATATAAAAAATTCAACTACATATAAATATATATATACTAATATATTGTTTACATATAGATTTGTTATACATACATATAATTAAGATCTACTGTATAATTTATATTATATATTAATCATGTGATAGAAATATATATACCTTAAGGTATATATATATAAATTCTATTAAATATTTACCAAAATATTGAATACTGATTTATTTTAAGACAGTGTCATTTATCATCTGATTTTTTTTATTAGAGGCTTACCCCCCGCCTTCCTTCTTACTATATATCTTGATCAGGTCTTTATATATAATTTTAAATTTTTTACTCCCC